TCCATGTCAACACAACGTCTACTCACTTGAATAACTTTGCAAGGTCAAACACATTGTTTCGGCTTGTGACCGTATAATGCCAAACAATCTAACAAACCAACGTTTTCAGGTGCTCAGGTGCCGCTCATGTCGATAGAGAGTGCACACACTACTGTGTCAACGATGGTCGCGCCTGTATCGAGAAGCCTACAACCAGCTGACGCAATAGCACTACTGGAGATTTAATCCACACACCATAGAATCGCGACCTAGTGAAAAAGTGACGAGAATGCAGTGATGGGTCTTTCAACATGGTCAATGGTGACTCACCAGCCCTTTTAGCAGCAACTTATCCTTTGGATATTCGCAGACGTAATACATTACTTGAGCACAACTCAAGCCGAACAGCCTATGAACATCCCTGAGTACTTTTGAAGCGACCATCGAAGAGATAACGTGCATGAGAGCGAAGATTGTCCCTATCAATGCGGGACCGAGGGTTTCGTTCAAGTCGAGGTCGAGGTACATTTTCACCCACAAGCTGCAATGCGTATAACGGTGAACGACCTATTATATATGACATGAGCAGAACATCAGAAAGTTTGGCAGAGGTCAGAATACTGACCTCGGACAGAACACCCACCGGAAAGCTGTGAAGCGGAGAAGCACACGACTCTGAAAGAAGTGGGAAAGAACGCGTTGTCTAAGGTAGGTGTGGTGATTTGTGTGACCGAAGTCCAGGGGTAACAGAACTTGCCTACATTTGATAGTGAAGCTTATACATGATGATGGCGAATCTCGTAAGAATCTTCTTGCATTTCGTGATCAGCTGCTTTTTAAGTCGACGTCCGCGTATACAGAGCTGTGGCAATGACGAACAAGCTCAAGGATGGACTTAACACCGTTCAGAGCCGTTCAGATAATGGAATTCCGCTGCGTACACGAAGTACCGACACGCATCATTCTGGAAGGAGACCCCACCGGATTCATGCGGTCGATCGACGTCTCTTCAGAAGATGAACCACAATCGTTGTCCAAAAATGAGCAAATGACTCACAGATTACGTATCATGCATGGACAATACAAATGTGGTATAAACGGAAATAACCCTCAGTCAGGAAGTTCCTCAGCCTTCGCGCACATGTCCACATGAAGATCTGTCAGTGTCAGTGTCACGCCGCACTATCGCCTCAAGCGATGTTGCGAATTCTCTGTCATGAGCTAAGATCAGCTTTCAACCACATAACGCATCTGACAGAATGGAAGTCCCATCATCGTGAGTCAGCGGAGAAGTGATATTTCGTTTGTTTGCCGCGCTACCGCCCACAGTAACTGCCTCATCTTCTATGTGTTCCAAATACTATCGACGTTCAGGTTCTGACTTTGTTTCAATGTTCGTCCTGGAGACACCACATTATCTTTGGAAATAATTTTAGTGCCCAGACCGATCATATCGGCACTCGTTCGCAGCAGTGGAGTGCGAACATGGAGAGGTCCTAGACCAGCTGCCACAATATCGTCAACCAACAGATTGTCCTGTTAACCGAGACAATGCGCTGAGACCTTGGCCGCGCCCCATTATTAGTGATGTGTAGAGGAAGATGTGCGATGCAGGACCACGCTATGTCGTGAAAAGCGAGTGATAATCTCATGGTTCAAAAAGACAGTCCAGATTGCGTGCTCATATACGGAAGATGGGAGCGCGCCATCGCGGCGTCTCCCTGTTTATGGTGAGACACACAGGTGCTCACATTGTCTGAATACGAGGTAGCATCCACTAGCGTCGAGATAGGGCAAGCGAACCCAAAGTCAGACTGCTCGCCGCTGACCATAGTGACTCATGTCGTTCATGCCAGTTTGCTCGTAGAGCGAAGGTCCTGGCGTTGGAGGGACCAGTGCCTCGCCGAATACGGGGAAGCCTCAATTCTCCTATATCCTATAAAAATGGGCAGGACCGTAACGTACCATTCATTGATAAATGATCACTTGAACACATTTCTCCGCAACATCTGGCCTTCTTGGTCTTAAAATGCAGTTTCACGGAACAATAGGACATTATCATCATGAGCGTTGGAGAGAGAAACAAACCAGGTCTTTTACTTTGCCACGTGGCTGGTGGCTAGTGGCCGTGTGACAGCGCGCCAAAACAGGCCATTACAGCTCTTTCCTAACCGACGGCACCGTATACTTACAATCTCATCGCAATAAGATATCTTTTCTCCTCGCTACGTGCAACTACACATGTGACGATGGATGTCGAATGACGTCTTTGTGTGCACGGAGATGGAAGTAAGTCTGAGCTGCAGTGGCATCTACCACCGGTCCGCTGACCGTTTCTCAGCATGCGGCTCCCGTCGGCTAGCCGGAGAACCTGAATCAGCACTATATTCAGCACTCTTGGAATTTACTAAGGATTACACAGAGGGCGCGTATTAAGGCATGCAATGCGGCAGCCTTCGTGTCGCACGCACTGTTAAGTAGCAGCGTCCTCCATGTCTTCGGAATTATCAGCAGCGAGCATGGAACACGATTCGGAGAAGAAGAACGAAGAACTTAGGACCCGGCCGCCGTCGGTCGAGGCTCCCGGCGCACCGTCGGCTCTTGACGACTTCCCCGAGGGCGGGCTCCGCGCCTGGTCGGTGGTATGGGGCGGGTTCTTCGCGTTTATAGCCACTTTTGGCATGGTGAACTCATATGTGAGTGGCATGCTAGCTGTGCTGTCAACACTTGACGTTGGATCCTGTCTTACATGTGAATCTCAGGGCGTCTTCCAAGATTATTACCAGACGAGTCTGATGGCGCACTCGTCCTCGTCCACCATCGCGCTTATTGGGGCCCTACAGCTGTTTTTTCTGTATGGTGGAGGCCCAGTGATTGGGCGAGTGTACGATGCATATGGCACAAGTGTGAAGACATCCGCTCTCACTGTCCCTCACTCTTTCACATACCTCCGCAGGTCCTCATCCCGTTAGGGTCGTTCCTGATCGTGTTTTCCCTGATGATGGTGTCCCTGGTGCAGCCTGACAAGCCTTACCAGCTATTCCTCTCGCAGGGTCTGCTCTTCGGCTTCGGCCTTGCGTGCATGCAAGTCATATCCTATCCCGTTAGTGCGCTGTCATAATATAACACATGCTCATACCTCCTATAGTTTCAACCCCACAATGGCCGTCGTCGGACACTGGTTCAGGCGGAAGCGCGCATACGCCATCGGCGTGGTCGCATCTGGGAGCTCTGTCGGCGGTGTTTTCTTCCCCATCATGCTGCAGCGTCTTATCCCCACGGTCGGGTTTCCCTGGGCTGTGCGCGCTGCAGCGTTCATCTGCCTCGGGTGTCTGACAATCTCCTGTCTGACGATTCGGACACGCCTCCCGCCTTCACGGAACCTCTCGCTGCGGGGTTTCATAGACGTTGGCGGTTTCCACGACTGGAAGTACGTGTGCGCGGGTATCGGAGCGTTCCTGTAAGTTACATCATACATTCAACTGACCGAACCCCTGATCGCGTGAAATCAGAGTATTCTACGCCCTCTTTATTCCGTACTTCTACATCCAGATATACGCGACATTCCGCGGCGTGCCCAACAGCTACGCCATCTATCTCCTACCCATAATCAACGCGTTCGGGTTGCCATCGCGTATAATTCCCGGCATCCTGGCCGACCGGTGGGGCTGGTATGTGCTAGGTCGTGCCGATCTCTCCTCGCGTGCTATAGGTGCTGATTCAATGCAATATCCAGTCTGAATGTGCTGGTGCCGTCGACGCTGATTGCGAGTATTATCACGTTGGCACTATGGCTTCCGGCCACCGACCAGGCGTCTATCACAGCTTTTGCCGCTATGTACGGGACATTCACGGGTACGTTGGTGTATTCTCGTCTCCCGAATCACAGACGCTCATTTTGTCATGCTGCAGGCGCTTTCGTCTCGCTGTTACCCGCATATGTATACACCATATCACCTATCGAGGTCTACGGCGCGAGACTTGGTGAGACCACACGCTTCTGTGCTTCTCCGGATCGCTCAATGTCTCGATCTGTCATCAGGGTCGATGTATCTTCTGGTCGGCATTGCAAACCTTGTTGGCACACCAACGGCAGGTGCATTCCTGACAACAATCAACCAACGCGGGTTCGACGGCCTCATTATCTTCACCGGCATCATGATCGCCGCCGGCTCGTTGCTGCTAGGTGCAGTGGGGGTCGTCACAGAGCTACGAAAGCGGAAAGCATTGGATAATAGCCCTTAGTCTCGAAACAATCTTTAGACGGTGCTTGTATTGTGATACACTAATTGTCATAGAATTAGTACGGACAATGTGGATTTGATAGACCCTCAACGCGGCTGTCAACATTATCGATCATGACCACTAACAGCAACTTCAAATGAACATGCAAATTGGATGAAGACGTGGCTAAAAGAGTAATCTGTATTGGAGTCATAATGAACACTTTCCAAGGAAACCAGTTGTGAAACAGCATCAGGAACAACTAAAACTAGCATTCTTGCCTATAACGGGCGCTTCTCGCATTGGACTAAACTAACACCTGGCGTGGACGCAGCACGCGCTGTCAATTGATTTCGACGGACATCCATTTACTATGTCATGTGCTCTGGCTATCTACATGTCGTCTTGCTACTCTTCTCATGCATATGAAAGGGCGTTGGCCCCTTTTAGTCCCCGTCTTCCTCTTCCAACCCCCTCCCCCCAATAGTGCATGTCGAGCCTACTCTCCGTCTTGTTGAGCAGCATAAAGACTTTGGAGTTACCACACGGGTACAAAGTATGTGCTCGTATAGTGTCGAGGACTCGGAGATTCGACGGCGCTGATGTGCTATTCACATTCGAGGCCTATCATAAACGATATCTCTCCACTTTGCGCGCCCTCACCCGCACGTTATATTTTCATCGCGAGACATACATCAGACGAACAGGGAAATTTCATGATTAGCTCGGTTTTCTTGACGGTGCGACTCACGATCATAAGGAGCATCCGTTCTACGACACCTTCCTAAAACGTGAGCGCACTCGGCGATCACTTCTTCGTCGCTTGTGGCGCACTCATAGCGCTCGTGCCTTTTACTTTTATGAAGTACCGTGTCGTCATGCATAGGGCGCCTTGGTGCATGCTGTCTATTAAAAAAATCTCACTCAGATGGTGAGTGGAATGCGCACGGTACTCCAGACCACCAGCGGCTTCTATGCGGGGTCTGCGCGTGCGTGCTCCACTTATGACATACAGCGACTATACACCTTCAACTACTTACATGTGACTGGCGCCATGGCGTGTTGCAGTGGATACTCAACGACTTGCCGCATATACTCCGTCACTTGTCGTATTGAGCCTAACATCTCCTCTCTCACTCACCGTAACGTCTGACAGCCCAATCACCGACACACAACATGGCACACACACTTGGTGAGCCATACTCCGGCAAGAACCCGGTGCCTAAAATCGCGACCAAGCTCACGTCGCTCGTGAACCCTAAGAAGGCGACAGACGCAAAGGCGCAGCAACTGCAGAGCAACCAGCAAGAGACGAAGCAGACTGTGCGCGGGCTCGCAAAGGGCCATGCCGTGCACACGACGGACCCGACGACCGGCGAGGAGTTGGACATTCGTAATGCGAACACGGATGAGGATCTTGACTTGCGCTCGAAGGGCGAGAACGTCTTGAGACATGAGTTTCCGCCTCCTGGTACGTGTACATCATTTTGGAACCCGACAGCGCTCTGATAACACCGCATATATGCGCCTGCAGACCTCGACAAACACCGCGAAACGGTCATTTCCACCACATCCGTCAGCGTGCTGTACATATGCGGCGCATATATGTTTTCCTTCCTCTTTGCTGCTCTGTTCTCCAGTTCAGCGCGCATACTCTGTTTCTCCATCGTGCCACCTTCCCTTCTCGCATACACCTTACTGTTCCGTATGCGCAACATTTCGCGGAGCGACTTCGAGGACCGTGCGTGGCATGCTGAACGCCTCCGCGGGCTCGGCGCTCGCGTGGACCGTGAGGGCGACAACCAGATCGAAGATGGTGATCGTCCGCGAGAGAGCGTGGAATGGCTGAATACTGTCCTACGCGGTGTCTGGCCGATTATCAATACGGACATGTGCGTGTGCTCACCTATGCATGCTTCTCTCCGTTACAACGTGCGTTGATTGAAATACTCTGAAGGTTTGCGCCGATGGTGGACATAGTGGAGGACATCATGCAATCGTCGGCGCCTTCTTTTGTGGTATGAATGACTCTTAGCATGGACGCTCGCTGTGTTAATTCTGCATGCCTGAGTAGCATTCCATCCGCATCTCGGACGTTGGCCTCGGCTCGAACTCTGCGCGTATCACGTCTATCCGCTCGCTTCCAGACGCCGATCGAAGTGGTACGGACAGCATAGGCGAGTCGCTGGAGGTTGACTCGCAAGACATGAGTCCTGAAGACCGCGATGCCCTCGGCGGGGACCACGTCAATCTTGAGGTCTTGTTTGCCTACCGCGGGTTGCCGAGCGGAAACGCCGCGGCGAGCAAAGGAAAAAACCTACAGTGAGGAGGGTCCTCCTTTGTGTTATGGCGATATGCGTTAAAGTAACCATTGCCGACCAGTCTGCTTGTGGAATTCTTTGTAGGGATAAAAGGGATCGTTGGCATACGCTTCCGTGAGCCGCAGCTGATCACGAGCCAGCACGAGCGCATTCTCTAACATTCCATTGAAGCGGTGTGGGTTGAGATCACAGGAGCAGTTGGCATTGCCCGTGCACGGCTCCAACTCATCTCCAATCCGCCATTGTATGTGTGCCTTCCTTGTTTAATTCGTCTGCGACTCCTCACCGAGTCCCGCCAGTGTCAAGGCAACCCTTGTAACGCTACTCGGGATGCCGCACATCACAATTTCTGCCACCCCGCTGAGCGAAAATCTCCCAAACGTGATGAACATCCCTTTCGTTTCGGGCTTCGTGTCGAACGCGATCAACACCGCTTTGGCAGAGTACGTCGCACCAAAGAGCCTGACGGTGGACTTGCAGAAGCTCATCAGTGGAGACGATATCAAGAAGGGTAAGTAAGCGTATTCGCGAAGTCATGACATTTCTAACGCGGAATGCAATGCAGATACGGACGCGATCGGCGTACTTGTTGTGCATATCCATCGTGCTACAGGCCTCGAAAGTGCTGACACCGATGGCAAGTCGGGTCAGTAGCGCATGGTTCTTCGTCCTTTACGGTTTCTGACAATCTCTGCTCGGCTTTGCATGATCGCTCGTAGATCCTTATGTGACACTCACGTTCTCACGCTTGGGCAAGCCGCTGTATTCCACGCGCATCATCAAGGGCGACCTCAACCCCGTGTTTGAAGAGACGGCTGTCGTCATGATCGACGTGAGTACGGTCAAGCTACGTGAGCGACTCAGCTTCCAGCTGTGGGACTCGGATCGGGTTACGGTGGTGAGTCTGTTCAGTGCCGGAGTCCCATTTCACGTCGCTCATGTGTCCAGGACGATATGCTGGGCTACCATGAAGTTGGCATCGCCGGTCTCATTCGTCAGCGCGGCAAGCCTATCCGTCGCATCTCTCCGCTCTCCAACTCCGACTCCAAACACCGCCCCGGCTCCATAGAGTACACCGTCGGCTACTACGGCAAGATACCTCCGAACCCGTCACTCTCGACGGACGGCGCTGACCCGGGCATCCCCAACGACCTGCGCGACAAGCCAGAGTTCAATGAGGCGCGCGCCGTGGCGCTCAATGACGTAGAGGCCGCGGTACTCACGACCCCGCCGGATCACGCGTGGCCGTCCGGCATCCTGAGCGTGCGTGTGCACGAGATCAGGGACCTGGCGGTGCGTCTGAGCGGGAAGGAGCGGAAGGGGAAGGATAGGCGCGTAGAGAAAGGGCAGGACGAGGGCGAGGAGACACAAGAGGAAGCTGAGGGCCTGCCATCCTCGTATTGTACTATGTGAGTATCCAGGCCTGTACCTTTTAGCGGATGGTTGAACTGACGGACTCACAAGCTCATTGAATGACGAACTGGTGTGCTTTTCCTCGTTCTCGTTGTAATTCTTGTGGCTAACGTGTACGCGCTAGGTGTATGAAACTCGCGTCAAACCAATTACAAGCTCTCCAATGTTTAATGCCGGGACGGAGCGCTTCACTAGGGATTGGCGCAAGTCGCATGTTACTGTCACTGTAAAGGATTACCGCATGCGGGAGAACGATGCGGTCCTTGGAGTAGTCTTCATGAAGGTGCATATGTTTGTTCTTTATACTATAAATATAGCTGAATGGCATTTATCTAGCTGTCAGACATCTTCGTCAATGCATCAGAGGTCACCCGTTTCTACTCTCTCGAGCAAGGTGTCGGCCATGGCCGGATCCGCATCTCGCTGCTATTCCGACCCATTGATGCTAAACTCTCCCCAAATCTCCTTGGATTCGACACAGGTACAGTCGAGGTTCGCGACGTCAGCGTCCAGAGCAAGCTCGACCTATCAAATTGCGAAATAAGCATGAAGTCGACAACTACCCCAACAGTGGAGAAGGTCTCGCGCAAGATCGCGGAGAAGCGTGACGATGGCTGGACTGTATGGGTCCATGACGATGTTTCTGCCCTTCCAGTTCGGCAGCGCTACGGCACGGCGCTGCTCGTTTCTTTCAGAGACACCGCGGGGTTCAAGAGCTCTAGCTGCAAGGCACTGGGCGTGCTCTGGTTGCGCGATTTGGTGGACAGCGACGAAGGCACAGTCGAGATCGCACTCTGGCAAGCCAAACATGGGGACTATTCAAGGCTCAAGCTCAACTACGTCCCGCCAGATGGAAATCTTGACTACTGGGACACGGACAAAGGAAACGTCGAACGCATTGGTAGTATCTTCCTCGACATAATGTTCCGTCCTGGCGTGTCTGAGCGTCATAAGGAAATGCTCAGTGGTGCTGGTGCGAAGAAGCGAGCCATGTGGGATGCATATGACAGGCAAAAAGCGGCGGGCATGCGCGACGAAGTCGGGATCGAGGACGAGCGGACGTCGTCAAATGCGGAGACGAGGAGGGGCCAGGATCTCGAGGTTGCAGACAATACAGACACGGGCGCGTCGCAACAAGACAGGACGATGACCGATGGTCCCTTAAATACTACTGGTGGAGATTCGACCTCTGCCAATCAAGAAAATGCCACAGAAGGCACGAACACTGTCGTGTCAACTGGAGACATCGACGATGAGCGGAAGGATGGCGCTGGCGCGCGCGGAATTGCTGACGAGTCCCATGACGACGCAGATTCCTCCGACGATAACAAGGCTAAGGGCCCAATTACGAAGCTGAAAGATTGGAGACAGCATGAAAGGGAGCTGCACCGCGATCATAGGGGCATCATGCAGGTGAAGCCTGCGAGGACTGCACAGTGGATGAAAGACAACGTGGAAGAGGGCGTTCACGCCGTCAAAGATCGTTTCAAGATGCATTCCCGACAACCGGACGTCGAGACAGAAGTCTGAGGATTATTGGACAAGATTGTCTGTGCAGGTACCAGATCCCATACCCATTTATGATTGTGCATACCCATGTTTGATCTGTTTCGTGCAAGGCGCTGTGCTGTTGCTACTCCTCCGCTACTCCTCCTCCTCGTCTGTATAATAGTCAACCGGATGGATTCATATTGTCACTCGATGTATTTGGCCAACGACAAAGATTACTTGACTTCACGTTTTGGTTTTTATCAAGCCAGCCATCAGGTCGAAACTATTTCCGTCGGGCTGCAGGTCAATATACGACCCGGCATTTGACCACCCATCGCTCTCTGGCATTGTGCGCAACAATCCATGGTCCCCGGTGATCCCGATAATCCGCACCTTCTGGTGAGGGGTCGTCGTGGTCAATTCGACAAGTTGATCACTATACGGGAGGGATTAGTGGCAACCCAATATGCTCATAGACGATAGTCACGCACGAGTGCAGCCACCGATCATAGTACAGGTCCATGAATGGCGCAAACGAGCCCTTGTGTACGAGAAAAGTCTCCCACATGGTCTCGAAAGTGGACATGATTATTGCAGCGGTTCGCTCCATGCTGAGCTGCAAGTCAGAATTGGCGGGTACAAGCTGGAGCAGTGACTGGATTGGCGGTGGATTGTATACGTTCAAGCCACAGCCTGGGGATAAGATTATCAGTCAGCAGCGAAAATACGTTGACGAGGCCGAGTGGCATATATGCGTACCTATGACGATCTCAACCTGGCCGCTTGAGAAACTCGTGTTCACAAGGATACCGCCGACCTTGCGCTTCTCTCCGTCGGCACGGACAGCATATATGTCGTTCGGCCATTTCAGGCGTATTTGGTGCCCTTCTGAGCCCAGCACGCCATCCTGGCGGCATGCCTGGACGACAGCGAGCCCAAAGAGGTATTGAACGAACACGAGTCGCGGCGCAGGAAGCTGTGCAAGGGACACCCGCAAGAGAAGGGAAAATTGAAGGCAACCCGCCGGCGACAGCCAGATATTCCCGCCACGGCCCCTTCCTGCGAGCTGGTGAGAAGCGAGCGACAAGAGAGGAGCCGGTACGGTGGACAGAAGACGCGTATTTCTGATCGTCAGAGAACATCAGATCAAGAGAGGGTAGAGACATGCGTGTGCGGCCTACTTGTCGAGCAAGGTCTGCGTGCTCGTGACTACCTCTCCATAAAGCAAAGCTTCACCTATCCCCCAGCCATCAGCAGGAGCAGAGGACTTTGAAGAGCGTCGCGCAGCGTCCAATTCGTCGTAGAACTTGCGTATGTCAAAGAGTGGCGTCCGCGCTGAGGGTGGAATCACCCCGTCTTTACAGACAACCACAATTTTCGGTTGCCAGGAGGTTGGATGTATCTGTTCTGTTGCCGACTCTCGTGCGTCCTGGAGCACTTTCCACTCCTCAGAGGCTGCGTGAAATTCGAATGTGTCGTTACTGTCTTGCGAGGTATATGATTGTTCCAGTGAAACAATTTCGAGCGCATGTAATATCCGTTCGACGATCCACGCCTTAGATGGCACACTTGTTAGAATCTGCGGCAGCGGGCTGGCGGCCGCTGATTTTTGCTCCGGCGGGACAAGCCCGAGTCTTTTTAGGGTGAGACGCAAGAAAGCCTTTCGCTGCTCTTCCGCCGCTGCGATCTCATCGGGTGATATCGGTGGGGAGGAGTTACTCAAGAGAGACGTCGCAGGCTCTGCAGTGAGCGTGTAGTCAATGAGACTGTCCCAGAAGACTGCACGACCTTTCCCAATACGGCATCCTGCTGCAGCGATGCCCGCGTCTTCTACATCAGCATAGCGCGCGACGACCTCGAGGCCTTCGTCTCCCTTCACTGATATGAGATTCGAGGACCCGAGACGGACAATTGGTGTCGCGGGTTCTCCATCATTGGTGCGGACGGCGGCAAGCCGAGAAGGGGCATCGGCATTGCCCAGAAAAACATCTACAGTGCAGTCCGATGATTTGCTGGAAAGCCGGATAGGCCGCTCACCAGTCAGGTTGATGTTAGACATTGCCCCTTCGAGAGTCCTCGACGAATTTGCGTGTGGAGTCCGGCAACGCACGCGGGCACCAATAGAGAGGATCGCTCCGCCGTTCGTGATGTACGATTCCACACGATCGGAAATGTTAGGGTTGGAGAGGGCATTCCGGCAAGAGGGAAAGACCAAGAGTGCGCAGTTGTCTGACCACGGATGCGAGAGAAGTGATTGAGAGGTGATTGATTGCACCGCATAGTTTGGGACGAGGAGGGACCGTAGGCTAGTAATCGACTGCGTGAGCGAAAGGGGGAGGACTTCCGGTCCGGAGAATACCAGAACGTTCATCGCAAGCTGTTTCTTCGTGAAACGTGAAATAACTCTCCCGTTTGAATCTACTGGTTTTCGGCTGAGTTCTTCGCAGATTGTAGAGCTGAATAACTCCTACATGCCTCTAATTTTTGTAAGCTTATTGCGAGCGATTAAATGCGCAACGTCAGTGAAGTCCCGAAAAATAAGAGGACGATTATCACATACAATGAACGCTTTGTGTATCTGCGACAGTTTTGAGATAGAATATCTCCGAGTCAGGGCAAGAACTTCTACTACTACTGCAGATGATCCAACTAGCTGGGGCCCTGGCAGGATCCGGAGCGGCGCACAGGATCTTCATATAAGACTTAGCACCCCCTCCGGGACAGCACATTTTGATGCAACAAGTATAGCTTACATCGAATTACCGTTTGCTGGAAAACTGGAGCGCTCCGCTGTAGCTTTGTGGTCCAAGCCTCAGTGTCAATCAGATCTCAGCCACTGTCACCCCTCAGGCCTAATAAGGCAAGCGTAGTATTCAAGTCTGCCACAACACGAACTGGATCCAAAATCCTCGAGCAGAATGGATATGGATTACAGTGGACGTAGGTCTCATAGCTAATTGCATTCTAGTAGACTAACCGAGAATATCTGTGAGCAGGCAGGGTTGTTGCGGAGTTCGGAATCAACGGTCGGAACCATGTTCCCGACATGGCTGGACCCAGCAAATCACAGCCACAATTCACCCAAACGGTAGACCGTTGTTTCCAGAGCCCGTCCATCCCCGCCCGAATTCCGCTTACGCACACATTGAGTTCAACAGGTCCAACGATATGGAATCAGCTGTGAGGACTTCCCGTATGCCAATCCTTAGCAATGCTGCAGTTGACTTTACGGAGAAAACCTCGCCTACGGTAAGCCCCAAACAAGGTATGCATTGCGCATCCACGGTACACATGGGAGTATAGATGTAACCAAGGTAGAACCGGGATTTACTCAAATGTATCCTATGCTAGCTTTCTGACACGTCTATCACGTTCCTCTAGCCCCCGTTCTGGCGTTCTCGTAATTATTTAGGAACCATTGAACGGTATCCTGCAACGCTACGACATGCATGGTGTAACGTGAGTCCCGATCGAAAAGGAGCACCAATGTTTCATACCTTCATCGAAGGGAGTGAATCTGAATTCGCCCATGAGCGACAGCAGCTTCTTGTTCGACGCTGGCTTGCGGAACTGCCCATCTGCTTGCGTTGTGTCAAGGATGTATTCGCCTTTGTAGTTCATGGCCTTCACAATCGCGTCCGTGAGCTCCTTGACGCTGACTTCTTGATCTTCGCCGACGGAAAGAATCACAGGCTCGACGTCGTCGTACTCGCGCAGTTGCCAGATAAAGAGCTTCGCGAGATCGCGTGAGTAGATGAATTGGCGAAGCGGCTTTCCCGAGCCGCCCACGATGAAGGGCGTGCCATTATCTGCAGTGAGAAAATGTGAAAGGGGACATGGAAAAAACTATCGTGTCGCGTACTCTGCGCGAGATAACACTTGTGGATGAGAGCGGGTATGACGTGTGCGGATTCAAGATTACTGAAGTGCATGAGGTCAATTTTGATGGAATGTTGATAGCGCCATTGACTTACAAGTTGTCGTGTGGTCCAAAGATACTCGTTGGGATTGCTGACGTGAAGTTACAGCCGAACTGATCTTTATACGCACTGCCGTGGAGCGCATTCAGACGGCCTGTGTAATTACGACATTACTCGGCGCGATGCGCACCGATTCTGCACATCCACGAGTCGCTTCGCGTGCGAGTACCCGAAGTTACTTTCATGAGGGAGCCCAAGGTGGATTTTCGTCTCGTCGAGCGGGTACGTAACCTTGTCGGGGAAAACACACGTCGAGAGGCAGGAAATGACCTTCTGTGTCCCCGTGAGATGGGCCGTGTGTAACACGTTGTCGTTGATGAGGATGTTGTCTCGGAGGAAGGTTAGCTGTATCAGCAGGTCAGCTGTATGTTGAAGAGTCGCGGACAGGAAGCATTGCCTTGCATTTCATGTTGATGTACAGTCCGCCGACTGTGCGAGGCCAGGGTGTAGATGGATTCATGAGGTCCATTCATATATTCCCATCTACGTCAAGGCTCACCGATTGCCGCGAGGTGTATGACGTGGGTAGGCTTGTACTTCTCGAAGAGGCGCTTTGTCTGTTCAGTGTCCCTGTGTACCCCGTCCTATCGAGTCGTCGTGGAAGACTACGAGTGACCTCACCTCAGGTCCGCCTCGGACGAACTGACGAAGATCCACTTTTCACCAGGCTTCTTACCGAACCTCGAGCCCTCAGGCTCAGTCTCAATGACATGCTGAATGGCCTTCCCAACAAGACCTGTGCCTCCTGTGACGAGAATAATGGACATGGCGTTGGAGTAGCAGTGATGGGAGGGTGTAGAGAATGGTACAGGCAAGACGCGCGCGTTGCTCCTAAATATAACAGCGCTCTGAGCGCAGCTCATGAGACATGGTTGGCCCTGCTTGGTACAGTGCTTAGTAAATTTCCGGGCTCATAGGACTCATGCGCATTTGATGAGAGTAGCCAGACAGACGTGAAATCTCACGACAGGCTAACTCGTTTTTTTACAGACCAGGATCTGCAAGAGAGGCAACATTTCGGTCCTGGGTACAGTGCCCATGTCGATTCAAAGTCTGAGTAGTCGCTGCGAGACGATAAACCCGTGAAGTCTCAGAGTTGAGTTCTGGGTCACCCGCACTGTTTTGAAGCCGGGTGAGATTGGCCAGTGATAGGAAGAGTGCTTCATGAAGCATCGAGTTGTTGAACGAGCTCACAACAAGCATTCAGAATGTTAAAGTTGCAGCTCTCAGCAAGATCATGGTGGTCAAGACTCAAGAGAGTCAAGGAACATAGGCGCCCGAGCGCATCCTGATCACCTCCCGCCACTGCAGTAACTCTCAACACCAAGTATGGCTGACTCGGTAATCCTTGTTACAGGTGGAACAGGCCTGGTTGGCAGTGCTATCAAGCACATCATTGACACCGAGCCGGCGGGCTCCCGGTTCGGGAAACGGGCAGGCGAGCGATGGGTGTTCGTCAGTTCGCAGGAGGGCGATCTGAGGTATGTGAATGGAACGCGTGCTTTACGCTCAACGTATTGATTGAATCGAAAGTGATCCGGCGCAGACCAAGAAACTGTTCGAGAAGTACAAGCCTACGCATGTCATTCACCTAGCCGCGCTCGGTATGCAGTCGTGCGCTTGCCAGGCTGCACGGGAGAGCTGATCTTGTATGCAATATGCACTTATCTGACTAGTCGGCGGGCTGTTCAAGAATATGAAGTACAAGGTGTGCCTGCTTCGTACCTAGTCCTTACAGCCCGCTTACGACTAGCACGTTCGCAGCTGACTTTCCTGCGCGACAACATGCTCATCAACGACAACGTCCTGCACTCCGCGCACCTGACGCAGACAAAGAAAGTCATCTCGTGCCTTTCGACCTGCGTTTTCCCTGACAAGGTCACATACCCACTCGACGAGACGAAGATCCACCTCGGTCTGCCGCATGAGAGTAACTTCGGTTACGCGCACGCGAAGCGGATGGTAGATGTACAGAACCAGTGAGACAAGTGTCCGCGCGATGATCCACCCTGTGCTGACAGCCGAGGTCAGTGCGTACAAGGACCAATTCGGCTCCAACTTCACGTCAGCCATCCCGACGAATGTGTTCGGTCCTAATGACAACTTGTGAGCATCTCCTTGATCCCACACCCTTCCGCAGCTTATGGTGTGCCACAGCGAGCTGGAGGGCTCGCACGTCATTCCTGGCCTGATTCACAAATGCTATCTCGCGAAAAGTGAGTCTCAGATGTAGTCGGAGGCATGGTATGTCACTGACTCTTGTTGATAGAGAATAGCACGCCTTTCGTTGTATCCGGTACAGGCAAGCCGCTGCGCCAGTTCATCTACTCATACGACCTCGCCAAGCTCTTCATCTGGCAGCTGCGAGAGTACGACGATGTCGAGCCTGTCATTCTGTCTGGTACGCCGTCCTACCCATAGACGCGTTGTTGCGTGACTGAAGCACCAAACCTTCAGTCGGCGAAGATGAGGAAGTTAGCATCAAAGAGGTTGCCGACGCGATCGTGCAGGCGATGGACTTCCACGGCGAGTACACGTTCGACACGACACGCGCGGACGGGCAGTTCCGCAAGCCCGCGAGCAACAAGAAGCTGCTGTCGCTCATGGGCGGTTTCGAGTTCACGCCATTCGACAAGGGTGCATACTACCTCTATCTTGCTCGTCGAGTTTGCGCATGGCTTACCATGATCTTGTGATGTACAGCGCTTAAGGACACGGTCAAGTGGTTTGTCGAGAACTACAACACAGCACGGACGGGCGTGAAGGCATGAGATCATTTCGAAGAAGGGAGAAGTTCATGATCAGGCGGATTGCGTCGGACAATCCAGAACATGTTTGCTTAAGCACAGACGAGACGATATCCATTGATATACAACATACAATACCTACAAAACTCAAGCGTGCGATCATGAACGGCGCTGAAAGAGCTCAGTACGAGAACATGCGCTCTGCCTTCTAGAGTCTCAGCTACTCCCATTCCAGCTTAGTCTAGGACGTGATGTGAGCATGCTAAAGAGGGACTAAAGGGAACATGCACTTCACCTCCTGAACCGCCTCGTCTACCGCTTTATAGAAGCATCTAAGCACTTCGATTATGTCGCCCATAATCATTGCCGGCGACTCTGTGCATGGCGAGCAGAGGCGCTGATCGTGCTCCATGCGATCAAGGCTCGTCCTCACCATTCCTCGATCCATGCGGATATCCAGTCCCGCAGTGAGCCGCTTCTTCATGTGCTCCCGCATCAGAGGCGTCCACCAGCACGTCGGGACCACGCCGGTCCACGGCCTCGCATCCGGGTCCGAAGGCGCTGGCTGCCGTTTCTCGACGCACCTTGAGTTTATACGCAATGCACAGAGAGCAGGGAGCCAGCGCACGTCGTTCGTGAGGCGCGCCGCGTTCTCGCCGCAGGCCTGCAAGAAACGAAAGAGGCGGTGGTACGCCAATGCGGGCGCGGTCTCCATCTCGGGGCACCACGTCCCCGGCACCAGCTCGCGCCCGAAGAGCTTCCGCGCCGCGCAGTTCGCCTGTGCCTCCAGCTCGTAGCAGTAGGCGGCGAAGTACGCGCGCAGCGGGTCGCGGTCTATCAGCGCGTCGACTTGGGCGTCTACCCGCGCCGAGGGGACCTGGTACTTCTGTGCCGTCGCATACAGCAGGAGCGCCTCGCGGACGTCGTGCAGGACGATCTCGTCGCTGAGTTGTCCGTAGCACAGCTTCAGGAAGGGCGAGACAACGCAAGCCGGCACGGACAGCTGCACCGGCGCGGCATCCGCAGGTCTGCCTGACGAGGGCGACAGCATATCCCGAAAGACGGGAGATGATGCGGCCATCACCAGTCTGTGCACTTCGAATTCCACGCTGTCGCTGGAACGCAGGACCACGTCCGCTGCGGCCATGTCGTAGGCATGAGGGCGGAGGAAGTTTGAAAGGTTCTCCTCGTTTTCGGCTCCCTCGTGGTTCTCTGTGGCTGCATATTGGTCGGGTTGTGGAGAGCAGAACCTGTACTTATCGTCTACCCTCCCGCCCGCCTTGCAATATCCCAGGAGCCGCTCGTAGCAGCCTGCTGTGAGGTGCTCCATGTCTCTCTTATACAGCATGGGAAAGCGCGCACCCAACTGGGAGCTGTTCGACAGTACCACTCGGGCAGCTTGCAATGCGATGTCCTCGCAGTCGTTGTAGCACGCGAGGTCGTACACTCGGAGCGGTGCAGCGCGCAGAAACGACAGCGCCGACTCCTTGAGCAGCGTGATGACATGCGGTACGTCGTACTTGATTGCGGCCTTCAGTGTATCGCGCACCTCGTCAAGATCGTACAGGACGGGACGCTGCATGGGGTAGCACATGCTCAGGAGGTTGTTGATCGTCACGCTGTCTTCGATGACCTCAATGGAGGGTATATCGCTGGATGTCTCTCCCTCTGCATCACTTGGCTGCGGGAGACGGAACATGCTCTCCCATAGCGGAGATGCCTCGGACAGGATAACAGAGTGAACTTTGAACTCCACGCCGTCTGCGGTGACGAACTTTATGTCGGCTGTGTGCCTAGTAAATGGGTGGTCTCGTGCGCGCCGCTCTGGTGCGCGTCCTGCCGTCCTAGCTGCGAACTTGTCAGAGATGTTGCCACGATTATGGATGAGATTATATTCACAGATATCGTCCTGGTTTGGTTCGATAGACATGGTGTTCTTTCGCACTTGATCGCGACCGTTTATTGAACTTACAATCGAGGATAGTAGCAAGAGCAGTGACGGTGAATATGCGCCGCAACACGGTGCAACACTTGAATGTGGCGTGAAGCAAATCACGTGGTTTGTCACGCTTCGCGTGACGGTACGCGATGTTTTCCAGGAGTTAGAGTCCGGAGTAGGCACCCGTACATAGCAGTACAACTCTTTTCTGCGATGGAAGGTGGACTTATAATCCTTACAATGCATGCAATTTTCTCTCGCATCGTGCAGAGATGAGTTACACCTGTAACAACCAACAGATTAGCGAACAGCGATGGGCAGCAAAGCGGCGAGCATATCAAGTGTTGTGCGATGCAGCATGTCTGCTGAGCACGTACAATCAACAGGCTAGCGTCATGGAGCGCGACGGGTGTCGGGAAAGGGGACTCGCCGTGTTTTTTCCAGTGACCGCGTCGATGGTCTGCAATAGCCGTCAAGGAAAATAATTCTCAAGGAGCAGCAACCGGGACGCCTGGGCCTCCGAGCTCGATGGACCCGAGAGACCGACCAGTGATGCATGAAGGGCTGTGCAAGACAACAGTTGCAGGTAGACTTCGGACAGAGACGGACACGCGCGGACGTCCCAGGATCGCGGTGCATCTTACCCGTCATGGACAAAGTATGCGGGATTACGACAACCATCTGTCGAAAAGTAGTGTCAAAGGCCGCGAATACCCATATTGATGCTACTGTGTTTAAGACGGCGTACCTTGCGGTATATCGCTTACATTGCCGTGTTTCCGAGTGATGTCGATGGGTATCCAGTTGAGCATTGGCAAGAACGCTCAAACATTGCGGCGAATGAAAGAGGCAAACTTGTGGCATGAACCGATGAAGCAGGTCGTCCACGTCCAATACCACGTGCGGAGCAAGGGGTCGCCTTCAGGGGCAATGAAGGGGACGATCCCGTACGCCTCTACATCTCCAAGTCCTACAGCGAAGACTAGTCGTGTGCGAGTAGTTTGCGCGGGCGTGGTGCGGATTTTATTCATTTCCGAAGTGAACCACGCGAACCGACTCCGCAGACCGCAGTGCTTCCATCGCGTACAGCGCCCCGCTACTGACGCCAAGACGGACGCCTTACGGACGCCCTATAAATTCGCCGTGTCAGACTCCTGATTCTCTCGATAGCCCCCTCTCTTCCTCGCCCATCATGTCTTCCCAGATCTCAGACGTCCCCACCCCGTTTTCCCCGCTCGTCAAGCTGCAGTTGCCGTCTCCGGAGGAGTATCGCAGTCGCAAGGTCGCATTGATCTCAGGTGAGTAACCACGCTTCGTGGACGCGTCGTCCAGGCGTGACGATGACGGGTCCGTGCAGGAATCACCGGTCAGGATGGCTCGTACCTGTGAGTATTTACAATTCCAGAATGCGGAGGGGGGATCGCCAATCACAACTCGATCTTGTCTCATGTTGCGCCTGACACTGATATGGCATCCCTTGTCATCGGGAATCGGGAGCTTGCCATCCTTAAAGCAGGTCTTCAGGCTTAAAGCCAAATCCAGTTCCCTCTGACCTCGGGCGACTTGTGAACCTTGTAAAGATGATGCATCTTGGACATACTCTCACTCGCTTAAGCGCTTAAAGTCGGATTCGGACACGTCTCTTATACTATTTTCTTGCATATCCTGCACAGTACAGAACTCCTGCTATCCAAAGGATACGAAGTGCATGGCATCATCCGGCGTTCTTCGAGTTTCAACACGAGTCGTCTCCACCACCTATACGAAGACCAGCACGAGCGTACGTCCACGCTCGTCTGACGCGCCCAAATCTTGACCCATTCGGCACTCCACAGGCCCGAACAAGTTCAGGTTGCACTACGGTGACCTGAGCGACAGCACAAACCTGGTGTACATCATCGCGCAGGTCCAGCCCTCGGAGGTGTACAACCTCGGCGCGCAGTCGCACGTCAAGGTGTCGTTCGAGATGGCGGAATACACAGGGGACGTCGACGGGCTGGGCACGCTGCGCCTGCTGGACGCGATCCGGACGTGCGGGCTCGAGCGGCACGTGCGGTTCTACCAGGCGTCGACGTCAGAGCTGTACGGCAAGGTGGTGGAGACGCCGCAGAGCGAGACGACGCCGTTCTACCCGCGCTCGCCGTACGGCGTCGCGAAGCTGTACGCGTACTGGATCACGGTCAACTACCGCGAGGCGTACGGGATGTACGCGTGCAACGGGATCCTGTTCAACCACGAGAGCCCGCGCCGCGGCCGCACGTTCGTCACGCGCAAGATCTCGCGCGCCGCGGCGGACATCTCGCTCGGGAAGCAGTCGTGTCTCTACCTCGGCAATCTGGACGCGCAGCGCGACTGGGGACACGGTGCGTGGCAGGGGCGTGCAGGGCGCGCGCGCGGCTGACCGCATTTGCAGCCGCGGACTACGTCGAGGGCATGTGGCGCATGCTGCAGCAGGACAAGCCCGAGGACTTTGTGCTCGCAACGGGCGAGACGCACCCTGTGCGCGAGTTCGTCGAGAAGTCATTCGCGATTCTCGGCATGAATATCCAGTGCGCCCCCTCCCCTTCCTGCGCGCTATCTTGATCAAACCCTGACTGTCTCTGCCCCTGTAACTGACGCTAACAGATGGCGCGGGTCTGGAACAGGCGAGGAGGGTGTGGACGCGAGGACAGGGAAGGTCGTCGTGAAGGTCGACTCGGGATACTTCCGTCCGGCCGAGGTCGAGTGCGTCGCCTCCGCGCCATTTTCGTTCGTGCCGTGCCGGGAATTGACCGTGCTGTGTCTGTTGACAGGTTGTTGCTCGGCAACCCGGCGAAGGCCGAGCGCGTCCTGGGCTGGAAGCGAAAGGTCGACTTCGACTCGCTCATCAAGGAGATGGTGGAGGCGGACCTCAAGGCGGCAAAATCGCTCGTCGAGGACCAGAACTAGATGTGGCGCGCGTGCGCACAGGGGGCGTAGGGTGTATGTCTTCGTGGACCCTTGGTGTCCGTTGTCTCCGAATAACAATGACACGTTGTATTTTACGACACGCGGATGCGAAATGTGAAGTCTATTTTTTGCCTGATCGAGCTGGATGGACAAATTGTGAGTCGATCGTCGGTGTGCATCTGTGTGCACACGGGCGCGGCAATGTACCGACGGTGGTGAGTGCAGTTGATCTGTGCTTGGCTTCTTGACCTGATGGTATCCATTAGCAGCCTCATCATTGGCAGCTGGTCTAGAACCTCTTCATATTCGCACTCCATTGCTGCGAATGGGTGCCGATATGATCGGTCTGGGCACGATGAATTGCCTCATGGAAAATGTGATGTCTTCAGGAAGGACATTGCAACAAGATCAGAACTTGAACGTCGTTGATATTTGAAACACGGATGGAAGATGAGGCAATTACCGTGGGCGGTGGCGCGGCAACCAAACGAAATATCACTTCTCCGCTGACTGACGATGATAGGACGTCCCTTTTGTCAGATGTGCCATGTGGATGAAAGCTGATCTTGGCTCATGACAGAGAATTTGCGACATCGTTTGAGGCGGTAGTGCAGCGTGACACTGACCCTGACAGATCTTCATGTGGACATGTGCGCGAAGGCTGAGGAACTTCCTGACTGAGATTGTTTCCATTTCTATCACGTTAGTAGTGTCCATCCATGATACGTAATCTGTGAGTCATTTGCTCATTTTTGGACAACGATTGTGGTTCATCTTTTGAAGAGACGTCGATCGACCACATGAATCCGGTGAGATCTCCTTCCAGAATGATGCGTATTGGTTTTTAGTGTACGCAGCGGCGGAACTCCATGTATCTGCCCTTGAGCGGCTCTGAAGGGCGTTGAATCCATCTTTGAGCTTGTTCGTCATTGCCACAGCTCTGTATACGCGGACGTCGACTGAAAAAGCAGCTGATCACGAAATGCAAGCAGATGTTTACGAGATTCGCCATCATCATGTATAAGCTTCACTATCAAATGTAGGCAAGTTCTGTTACCCCTGGACTTCGGTCACACAAATCACCACACCTACCTTAGACAACGCGTTCTTTCCCACTTCTTTCAGAGTCGTGTGCTTCGCTGCACAGCTTTCCGGTGAGTGTTCTGTCCGAGGTCAGTATTCTGACCTCTGCCAAACTGTCTGATGTTCTGCTCATGTCATATTCAATAGGTCGTTCACCGTTATACGCATTGCGGCTCGTGGGTGAACATGTATCTCGACCTCGGCTTGAACGAAACCCTCGGTCCCACTTTGATAGGGACAATCTTCGCTCTCATGTACGTTATCTATTCGATGGTCGCTTCCAAAGTACTCAGGGATGTTCATAGGCTGTTCGGCTTGAGTTGTGCTCAAGTAATGTATTACGTCTGCGAATATCCAAAGGATAAGTTGCTGCTAAAAGGGCTGGTGAGTCACCATTGACCATGTTGAAAGACCCATCACTGCATTCTCGTCACTTTTTCACTAGGTCGCGATTCTATGGTGTGTGGATTAAATCTCCAGTAGTGCTATTGCGTCAGCTGGTTGTAGGCTTCTCGATACAGGCGCGACCATCGTTGACACAGTAGTGTGTGCACTCTCTATCGACATGAGCGGCACCTGAGCACCTGAAAACGTTGGTTTGTTAGATTGTTTGGCATTATACGGTCACAAGCCGAAACAATGTGTTTGACCTTGCAAAGTTATTCAAGTGAGTAGACGTTGTGTTGACATGGACGAGGCATTGATATTCTACCCTATGCAGTGTTGCATCGGTCCGTCTCTTTCCATTGACACTCGAACTGTTCGTTAAGCACATACGTTCAGGCCGAGTATGCTCTTGCAGCGAGCACATGTCAGGTCTTATACAACCAATGCCTTGACGTTCGGACACATTGGATAGGTACCGACGATCTTCATTGTGCAATGGTAGGCTATGATTTGTCTACCTCTACAGTATACTTTCGCGCGCTGACCTCGTCTGCAGTTATTATATCTATACAATCTGGATCTGTACGTTTGGCGTTACTCAGTGCGCTCTGAGCTCTTTAGTGAGAATGAATGCAGTACTGGGTCAACGTCCGTACAAGTGGCCCCTCACGATATTTATGGCAAGTCCAATCACCTATTTCCCTCATGATTCTCACAGTGCATTCTTTCCTTTCGCGTAGAGCTTCCTCACATTGAGCTCGTTTAGTAGGTTAAACCAGATCTTTCCATACTTGAAACACTCACGTCGAGTCTATCAGTTCTTGGTTACGGTGGGCTCCCCCTTTTA